AGGTTCCCCAACAGCTGGCCGATTCGTACCACCCAATAAACATTCATTTGAAATATCTCGGTTGTTGTGCACGGCAAGTTAATAGAGTGAAGCGAGTAAGATACAAGCTAAATTTTGTTGTGTGATTTTCTTAACAATACTTGTTGTTGATGTTCTTTGGTCTATGATGACCATGAAGAAAACTCTTAGTTGTGTGCTCTTTTGGAGTAGAGCCACCTGAGACTAAACGTGCTGATACATGAATGGCAATCTTTGTTGCACAAGTCGCACTTAGGGATCATTTCTGCATTGGAGTGCAGCGTTCTTTCCTGATTTGAATGTCTCCTTACACTGACTAATTTATATCATATTCTGGATTTCAAAGAACTTTAGTTAGTCAGCTCTCGCGGGACATGCGGCCCGCCTAGGGATTTTTTTCTTGTTATCGACACGGCACTTAACTCTTTTCATGGGATAGCTGAAAACATCCTCGAGTGAAATGTCGCCATAGTTGAGATAAAAGGAAGGCAAGTTCCTGTTCATAACACGTCCTTTATTCATAATATCACCAAATAATGTATTTATAACTACACAGGTAACACATTTCCATCATAATGAACCAATTTATAAGTTTAAGCCTATATTCAAACTTTGTGACAATTATTTGAAAATTCATGCTTCGTTTAACTTTCTATCTATAACAAGTCCGTTGTTCATAATGTTAGTCCGTTATTCAAAATGCAGTAGTACAAAGGTAACGCATTTGGATCATACATAACCAACTGATAAGTTATAGCCCATTACCAAACTTTGTGAACATTAATTGAAAATTCATGCTTCATTACTGTAAATAAGGAAACTCATTCAGATTAAGTTTAAACTTTTGTATCAACCTCGTTATCTACCTAGTTTCGATTTCATTCACATTTTTTCTTAGATTCATTTAATTCTTTTCTTCACTCAGCGTCTCCCCGTCTTCATTTCTCTAACGCCCTAAAATGAAAAGTTTAGGTTAAACTTTGTTTTATCAAGTAGGCAAAGGTAAGAATAAAAAGAAAGGTAATCCTTTTTCCTTTATTGCGTAAACCCAGCTAACTTTGTATGCAAGATCGTCTTCTAACTCAAAAACCTCAAATCAAATGAGAAGAAACAAGTGTGGCCCAAAACCACTGAACAACAAAAGAGTTGGTATCACATATCGCTCTCGAGGGAAGGAAATCAAGATAAAAAGCTTTGCTATCAAAACGGTGGTAGGCTTCCAAGTCCACAACTAAGGGATACTTTTTTGTATCCTCACAGACTAAATCAAACGATAACAAAATCAACGGACATAATTATTTATCGGGGGCCTGATATCTGATAGGAAAGCGAACTTGTCATGCTTTCAATTATTCAGTGTTATTGGACATTCAGATCAACATGAATGGACGGAACACATCACTTTTGCGCGTGCTCTAATCTAAAGAACTGAGTTTATATTCAAGTAGGAAAAAATTTACTTGAAACAGGCACTTTCTATCTAATGGAATGACTGCGAAGCAATTATAGACCGAATTCGACTCCACCCCGTCCAATTACCGTAATGTTGTTCATTACGTGTAGATAGGCTTGTAAGCCTCTTCCCCGTTCAACCGGACTATATCTAAAACGTCACGTCCACCTGCACTTTTGTCTTTAAGAATTGTGGTCTCCTTAGATCAACTATTACAGATTTGTATCCTCCGCACAACGGATTTGTCTATGAGGTAACTGATCATTACATGTTTATGAAAGTGAAAGAATTATTTTGGATATATTTTTGAGAAAAAATGCAATGTTTGTGAAACCTTTAAAGAGATGGTTCAAAAGTTCTTCTGTTGTCTTAAGTTTTAAATCAACTTAAAGTAGAAAAGTTGAATTTAAAATATTCCGAGGAAATTGAGTGATATAGCTGTTGTAGTTCAATTTTATCCTTGGTTCGAATTTTATTTTCCTTTGTTTCAAACTCATTATCATACATTAACATGACCGAGAACAAAAGAAAATAAAATTTGAACCAAGGATAAAATTGAATGACAACCGGCATAGCCACCGAAGAAAACGACGCCATACAAGGTTAAAAAGAAAGTTCTAAATTAACGTAGTGGGGTTGATGATTAATAAAAAGTGGATTGCTTCCATTGATTGTGGAAAAGTTCGTTTACCGTAGGTTGGAAACTTGCCGGATGTCCGGTCAAAGTTACTGTAACAATTTTGAAAACAGAGAATGCAGTGTTGTATTGTTACTTTTTCCTAACCTGTCTGCAATTTTGTTTTGTTGTGCTTTTGCAACTCTCCTGACAATTAATTCAATGTCTACTTTCTTCATTAAATTCAACCTTCTGGACTGTCTGCAAGTTTAAATCTCTCCAAATGTATTTTAACAAGCCTGATAGCATATAATTTGCGTTGATTAATAAAGAAGATGGCAGGAGAGTTTTCGAAACATGTCTGTAAAAAATAAAAGAATGTTGTCCTTTTTCAAAAATAATAACGAGCCTGCCAGCCGAGACCTTTCGGAACTATTGGAGAGCTATTCCCTCGAGTAAAAAGCAACATTTTCAACAAGACCTTGAACACTCCGAATTCAGAAAAATAAAGTTTAAAAAAATCTACGTATGTATAGTGAAAAAATATATTGGGATAAAAGAGCTACGACTGAATAAAGGCCGAACAGTTATGTAGCATACACGTTTTGGAAAGAAATTAGAAAAATAACACAGAAAAGTACTTACTAAGATGCCAAACATCTCGTAACCTTTCTCATCCGCTGCAACTTTACAAAGTTCAAAGGCCGTTTTAACATTGCATTTCATTTCTCCTGTGCCATTGATGTCTGCGAATCTTTTTTCATAGACAATTTTCTCCCCTTTCTTGAGTACCTTGAAGCATCCCTCTGACCTCCACCCATCTGAAGCATCTGATTGGAGGAAAGATTAATCCACTATTTTTTTTTTCTGCGATAATTATCATGATCACGATTATGACCATTATTATTGACGTTATCGTTATTATTATTGTTTTTAGTATAAATTTTATAAAACTTCTTAAACGTGATTGGCTACTACCAGCCAAATTCGAACACT